TGCAGGCGTTTGAGTAATTTAGTGCAATCTGGTAATGGAACATAGGAATGGAACAATGGACGACGAACCTTGGATGATGAGAAGATTGGGTACGGTTTTTTTTCGTAATAATTGTGCATTGTAATTGCTTATTGTTAATTTATGGATAATGTGTTAAGTCAATTGTTATATGTTGTATGGAACCACTGCTGTTTCTACTGTTTTTACTGTTTGTGAACCGCTGTGAGTCGCCTTCGGGCTTGAGATACAGCGGTATAGAAGCAAAGTAAATAAATAAAATAAATAATAAATATAATATTATTTATTTATTTAGATATTTTATTTAGACCATTTCTACCCCGCCCTTCTCACCCCCGAGGGGGGGACTCAGGGCGGCTAACACAGGCGACTATTCAATGCCAACAGTATCAAAACAACACTATAAAACAGCAATATAAAATCCATTACATAACAATTAAGCAGTGATATTAATTAAAATTACATAACCACATAGAACAGATCACACAATCACAGGTCATAAAGCCATTTCCAATTTTCAAACTATCCTAATAATAATAATAATAATAATAATAATAATAATAATAATAATAATAGATCCGATACCAAGACAGTTCCTCATCTGTAATTAGATATTATTATCAATATTATAATAATCTTAATGATAATAATATAAATAATATATAATATAATATAATATGAATAGATCTGATACCAAGACTGTTCCCCATCTGTGATTAGCAGGATTTGGTTATTACTATTATTATTAATAATAGTAATAACCATAATTATTACTATTATTATTATTAATAGTAATAATATAAATAATATATTTAGAATTGTAATATATAAATAATATATAATAATATAATATAATAATAATCAACATATACATATGCCTTGCTTATTGTATGATGTAAGGCCTTCCCAACATTGCCCATCCCTACAATATAGCCAAGAAATTGTACAATTAATAAATAAGTAAATAATAAAAAGGCAAAGATTTCCCCTGACATGAAGTCTAGTCATGTCTGACTCTGAGACTCTGGTGCTCATTTCCACTTTTAAGCCGAAGAGCTGGCGTTGTCCGTAGACACCTCCAAGGTCATGTGGCCAGCATGACTGCATGGAGCACCATTACCTTCCCGCCAGACCGGTATCTGTTGATCTACTCATATTTGCATGTTTCTGAACTGCTAGGTTGGCAGGAACTGGGGCTAACAATGGGAGCTAACCCCGCTCCCTGGATTCAAACCGCCGACCTTTCAGTCAGCAAGTTCAGCAGCTCAGCAGTTTAATCCGCTACACCACCAGGGAGCCCTAGTAAATAATACATTTTCAAAATACCATACAAGCAATTCGGTTGTTCCATAACTAGGATTCAAGTGTGTGAGCAAACTTATGAGATACTGAAGCTGAGAGCTTCTGATTGAAAGGAAAGATCTGATTGTCTTAATTTCAAGTACTCAGTTTAGGAAGCCGAGCATTGTTATTTTCATGTTTACGTGTTAAGCCTCACCCTCACCCTCCCTCCCTTCCTCTTCCTCCTCCTTAGGAGTGCTTCCTCCTCCGGAACTTCTCCTCTCTCTACGCCGTGGTCTCCGCTCTCCATTCGACTCCCATCCATCGGCTCAAGAGGACGTGGGAGGAGACCTCCAGGTGGGAACACACATACAGGTGGATCTGTAATTGGTTAAGTGGACGAACACAGAGAGTGCTCACTAATGCTTCCTCTTCATCTTGGAAAGAAGTGACAAGTGGAGTGCCGCAGGGTTCCGTCCTGGGCCCGGTCCTGTTCAACATCTTTATTAATGACTTAGATGAAGGGCTAGAAGGCAGGATCATCAAGTTTGCAGACGACACCAAATTGGGAGGGAGAGCCAATACTCCAGAGGACAGGAGCAGGATTCAAAACGATCTTGACAGATTAGAGAGATGATGGGCCAAAACTAACAAAATGAAGTTCAACAGTGACAAATGCAAGATACTCCACTTTGGCAGAAAAAATGAAATGCAAAGATACAGAATGGGGGACAATGCCTGGCTCGAGAACAGTACGTGTGAAAAAGATCTTGGAGTCCTCGTGGACAACAAGTTAAACATGAGCCAGGAATGTGATGTGGCGGCAAAAAAAGCCAATGGGATTTTGGCCTGCATCCATAGGAGCCTAGTGTCTAGATCTAGGGAAGTCATGCTACCCCTCTATTCTGCTTTGGTTAGACCACACCTGGAATATTGTGTCCAATTCTGGGCACCACAATTCAAGAGAGATATTGACAAGCTGGAATGTGTCCAGAGGAGAGCGACTAAAATGATCAAGGGTCTGGAGAACAAGCCCTATGAGGAGCGGCTTAAGGAGCTGGGCATGTTTAGCCTGAAGAAGAGAAGGCTGAGAGGAGATATGACAGCCATGTATAAATATGTGAGAGGAAGCCACAGGGAGGAGGGAGCAAGCTTGTTTTCTGCTTCCTTGGAGACTAGGACGCGGAACAATGGCTTCAAACTACAAGAGAGGAGATTCCATCTGAACATGAGGAAGAACTTCCTGACTGTGAGAGCCGTTCAGCAGTGGAACTCTCTGCCCCGGATGTGGTGGAGGCTCCTTCTTTGGAAGCTTTTAAACAGAAGCTGGATGGCCATCTGTCAGGGGTGATTTGAATGCAATATTCCTGCTTCTTGGCAGAATGGGGTTGGACTGGATGGCCCATGAGGTCTCTTCCAACTCTTTGATTCTATGATTCTATACGCCCCTTCCCCTTGACATGCCCCCCACCCTTTTAAACGCAGCCCCAGAAGCCCCCGTTCCAAGACTTACACCTCTCTCAGCCTTCTCTTCTCTGAGATAAGCATCCACGGCCCCTGAAGGAAGGAGCACCTCAGAGGGATCCCTGGTTGCCAAGCCTTTGGCCAGGATGTCCTCTTCTCTCTTCTCTTGCTGCCTTCATCTCCTTCTCTAACTGCTCTACCCAGGACTGGGCAAAGCCCTGGGTACCACACCTCTCAGTAGGGTAAAGCACACACAAAAATATAATAACTATAATAGCAATCATAATAATAACAGTCAACAATAATAAGAACAACAATATGCTCCTTTTCCCTCTGAGAGGAGCACCAAAGCTGCAAAAAGGGCTAAAATCAACATTTCCCCCAATTGCAGAGTTTCTAGGGATCACTGGGTTGTTGTAGGTTTTCTGGGCTATATGGCCATGTTCTAGAGGCATTCTCTCCTGACGTTTCGCCTGCATCTATGGCAAGCATCCTCAGAGGTAGTGAGGGCACATTACACATTCATTCATCCTCATGCATACAACGCCAATTCTCCTTCTGTCATCTCCTGGAGAAGGACCCGCTTAGGCCAGACCCTGCTTTCCCTGCAGCCTGCCAACACACAGTTCCAAAACTTCCAAAATGCATCTATTCTCCCTAAGAACAATGTCAAGGATCAGAGCTCTGTTTTCCCTACAGCAGAAACTGACTCCCTGCAAATGTATCATGACTCCTTTCTCTTCTCTTGAGAAAAGAAGCAAGTGACCAGACTGCGTTCCATTGCAGATCTGCCACTCCCTTCCCACGGAGAAGAGCGGCGGGTGGGCCAGACTCCTCTGGTCTGCCACAATTTTGGAATTGGAATAAGGTCTCTTATATAGCAATATTTCTTGCTGCTGTTGTTCCAAAGTTGTAAATGAATGACAGATGTTTTTCCAGCCTGAAACATCCTGGCTTCATCTCAGTTCCGGGCAGATGTTGACTCTCCTTACTTGGTGTTGGAAAAGTAAGGAGCCTTGTGTTGACTTTCCTTCTTAACGTAAGGAACCTTGGAAACATTTCCTCAACTTAAAGAGCCATTGTCTCTGATAATGTAAACACGTTGTTTTTCTCCAAAAGTTCAACAGGTCAGCAGTGTCAATAGTTCAGCAACTTTTAATAACAGTCCGCGAATTTTTACCTCCTTCTTGTAGTTTTCCAGGCCTCATCTTAGACTGGCATCTCTAGATTATATAGAGCCCAACTATACATTTTTTTATACAATTCTATTCAAACCACTACTTTTACAATGTCTCAGTTTCTCTCTGCCACTCCCCCTTTTGTCCCCAGATGACTTCCACTGCTGCAAACTGAGCAAATAATAATAATAATAGCACATTGGATCCATTCTCTTTGTCCTTCCTTCCTCTGCAGGGACTGCCTCCGCTGCTACGAGGAGCTGAGTGCCGTCTGCTCCGAGGAGGACAACTACAGCCAAAGCCGGAGGCTCCTCTTCCAGGTTTGTGCAGAGCCCTTCAATGCCGTGTCGCCCTCAGCTCTTGTGGCAGAGAGTCCCACCGGGCCAAAGAGGGAGCATCCGCTTGAGGGAGGAACCCAGGCCGGATCTGTGTGCATCTATCTGCACTGCGGAATGAGTGCAGCATGGATTCAATGTCATGGAGCCCTGAGAGTTGCAGTTTCATGAGTCCTTTAGCAAAGGGTGCTTGAGCCTTGCTGAACTGGGACTCCGAGGATCCTATAGCTTTGAGCTTGGGCAGTCCATTCCCAATGACAACAACAACAACATTCATGCCACAATGTGTAGATGCACCCTGTGTTAAATGTTTCTTGAGTTCAGAGTAGAGCAACTGCTTTGGTAGATGGTAGTCGGGCATCCGGACAACGTGACCGGTCCAGTGGAGTTGATGGTGGAGGACCATCGCTTCAATGCTGGTGGTCTTTGCTTCTTCTTCCAGCACGCTGACGTTTGTCCGCCTATCTTACCAGGAGATTTGCAGGATTTTTCAGAGGCAATGCTGATGGAATCGTTCCAGGAGTTGCATGTGACGTCTGTAGACAGTCCACGTCTCACAGGCATATAGCAGGGTTGGGAGGACAGTAGCTTTATAAACAAGCACCTTGGTCTCCCTACAAATGTCCCGGTCCTCAAAAACTCTGTGCTTCATTCGGAAGAATGCTGCACTCGCAGAGCTCAGGCGGTGTTGTATTTCAGTGTCGATGTTGACTTTTGTGGAGAGGTGGCTGCCAAGGGAGCAGAAATGGTGAACATTTTCTAATGTTACACTATTAAGCTGTATCTGGCTGTAAACCGGGCTGAGTCCCTCGACAAGGTTGAGAAGCTCGGTCTACAAAACTGTGAAATAAATATCTCTGGCATTGGAGAAGGATTGGCCGGTGACTGCTGGAAGAGCACTTTGGTTTTCTCGATGTTCAATGACAGGCCAAGCTTCTCGTATGCTTCTGCGAAGGTGTTTAGAGTGGCTTGTATGTCTTCTTCTGAATGCGCACAGATGGCGTTGTCATCAGCATATTGGAGTTCTGTAACAGATGTTGTTGTAACCTTGGTTTTGGCTTTCAGTCTGCTGAGGTTAAATAGCTTGCCATCTGTCTGAGAGATGATTTCCACTCCGGTTGGAAGCTTCCCATGAACAAGATGAAGAGTCATAGCGATGAAGATGGAGAATTAAGGTTGGGGCAATAACACATCCCTGTTTGACACCTGATTCCATCTTAAATGGGTCACTTTGGGAGCTATTGCTGTCCAAGACTGTTGCCATCATGTCATCATGGAGGAACCGCAGGTTGTTCACAAATTTGTTTGGGCACCTGATTTTTTGGAGGACGGTCCAGAGAGCGCTGTGATTCACTGTGTCGAATGCCTTTGCAAGGTCAATGAATGCCATGTGCAGAGGTTGATTTTGTTCCCTGCATTTTTCTTGGAGCTGACGTGCGGTGAAGATCATGTCCATGGTTCCTCTGGAGGGGCGGAAGCCGTTCTGGGAGGGTGTCTTCTGAGAGGGGCAGAAGGCGGTTTGCAAGGATTCTTGTGAGGATTTTCCCAGTTGATGTTAGAAGGGATATATCTCGATGTGGCCGAAGAGGTTCTCTCACAAATCCCTCAACAACAAACCAGGGATGAGCTTGCAGCACTGCCTAGTTTGGAAGAAGTCAGCAATGCCATCAGCCAACAAAGAAAATAACAAAGCCAGCAGACCTGACGGGATCCCTGCTGAAATTTTTAAGGAGTGGGGACCTGAGCTGACACAACAACTCCACTAGCTCATAGAAAAAGTGTGGGTGACCGAGAAAATCCCAGCAGACGTCAAGGATGCCACCATCATCACCCTTTTCAGAAGAGGGGAAAGAACAGACTGTTGTTGGGACAATAACACATACCTGTTTGACATCCCTGTTTATCCCATATCATAAACTTGACCCTTGTACTTGTGGAAACACTATCTTCACTTTCACCTATCGCTATTATCCACAGTTGTCTGTTCCCATGTAAGTTCAGGAACATATCCTTGGCAGGTAGAAGGGGTTTGTTCTGTCTCCCAGGAGACTGGTTTGCATTGCTTTTTTAGTTGCTTGGAGTGGCTGCCCCTTGCCTTTCTCTCAGGAGCTGCTGCAGCCTTGCAAAGCCAGGAGTTTAACAGTCAAAGGCGGGAAAAGCCAGTCTGCAAACTCTTTGCAATGGTTGGCCTAGGGAGCAGCTCTTTGAGCCCACCCCTGCTCCCAGGGAAAGACTTCCATTTTGGAGTCCTCCCTGCCTGTTCAGTTCTGAAGAAGGAATCTGATGTGCTGGTGGCCAGAAAGGTAGCTCCGACAAACCACTGTAAAAACAATTGAGTTATAGACAGGAATTGAGAACAATTGAGAATTGAGAAATTAAGATAGACAGAGAAGTTTATTGAGAAGAATTGAGCTATAGTTACATAGATTATAAGAGAGTTATAGAGTATAAAGAAAAATAGGTATTGAGCTTTGAGAATTGAGTTTTATAGAGTCTTATAGAGAGAGAGACCTTATCTCCAAGGCTAATCTGGGGCTTAGATAGAAAGGGAAAGATTTGTTCTTTCTAAAAGAAAACAGCTCTGGATTAGGGTGAAGGATCCCTGGATCCCTTTGCCACTTGGAGAAAGGCTGACTCAGTAACTGGTGGAGAAGAGAAAGAAGAAATATCTATTTGGTTTATCAATTGACTGTTCTGTTTGCAACTTTGAGAAATAAATATCCTGTTTTGATGTTCAGAACTTGTAATAGACTCAATTGCTGAGAATCTCAATCTTCTCAAGAAAAGCACTGGCAGTTCGCCCAGACATAGATAACAGCACATCATAGTTTTGTTTTTAAAAGCATCTGGGTGTAACGGCACAGGGTTATTGTTTTAAAATCAAATGTAACAAGAAAATGCAGGACAGAAAATGAAAGTGATACACCACTCAGTTTAATCATGACCCTGGTTTGAATCCTTAATCATGACTTTAAGGACTTGGGGTCAAATCTATGACTGCAAAGATGTGGGCTTGAGTCCTCATTGATGACCCTCTTTGAGTCTTTTCTGGAGAGATGATGATGATGATGATGATGATGATGATAATAATAATAATGACAGTGATAACACAGGTTCGAATCCTTAGTTATGAGCCTAATCCTCCTCTCTGTGCTCCTCTCCCAGGAAGGGCCCCCTCGAGGATCCCCCGGGATGGAGCCCACCCTCCGGCGGCACCATCACCACCATCACCACCGGCGGTCCCTGGAGCAACGCCCCACGGTACAGTGCCAGACAGCATGGGGTGGCCTTGAGGCTTTCTGGCCAAGGACAATGGGAGCTAAAGACCCTAGAATTCTATACTGGGGGAACTTGGTGGATGTGGCTTCCTCTTCAGCTGACCCCTTCCTCTTTCTCCCTCCCTCCCCCAAAAACTACACAGGGGGTGGTCCCTTACCTGGGCACATTCCTGAAGGACCTGGTGATGCTGGACGCAGCCGCAAAGAACCGCCTAAAGGTGAGCGGAAAGGGAGGGTGTGGGGAGGGGGCTCATATTGACGGGCGGGACCCCCACTCCAAAGTGGTCGGGTCCTGTGTCTACACTGCAGAATTAATTAAGGTCAGGATTCAGAACCTCTGTGGGTCCTTCCCTCCTACTAATTCCATCTCTCTTTCTGCTCCAGAACGGCTACATCAACTTTGAGAAGCACCGGAAGGTAAAAGGAAAAGCGGGGGAAGGAGGAGCCACTCATCCTCATTTGGGGCCTCCGGGGGTGGGGGCTCCTGCAAAGAGGGCCAATGGCTTCCTCCCCTTCCCGCCTTCTTTCCCCCAAATGCCTTTCCCAGGAGTTTGAGATCATGACCCAGCTGCGCCTCCTGCAAGCCAACTGCCGTAACTACGCCCTGAGCCCGGACCCTTCTCTCCAGAGGTGGTTCCAGCGCCTGCCCAGCCTCAGCGAGACCCAAAGGTATGTCGCAAGGAAAATAACAACAACAGCGATGATCATGACAAGAATAATGCATTTGGGATGAAAGCAAATCCTCTTTGGTCCATATTTATATTAGCGATTCCTTTCTATCTATACACTGTCCTCTGGTGATTGCATCTGAGCATGCATACATAGAAACAGAGAAGGCAGCAGCTGATCCTTTCTATATACTGCCCTCTTGTGGTTGCAACTGAGCATGCATACATAGAAACATAAAAGGCAGTGGCTGATCCTTTCTATATACTGCCCTGTTGTGGTTGCATCTGAGCATGCATACATAAAACATAGAAGGCAGCAGCTGATCCTTTCTATATACTGCCCTCTTGTGGTTGCATATGAGCATGCATACACAAAACATAGAAGGCAGCAGCTGATCCTTTCTATATACTAACCTCTTGTTGCATCTGAGCACTGCATACATAGAAACGCAGAGGCCAGCAGCTGATCCTTTCTATATAGTTCTTTCTTGTGGTTGCATCTGAGCACTGCATACATAAAACATAGAAGGCAGCAGCTGATCCTTTCTATACACTGCCCTCTTGTGGTTGCATCTGAGCACTGCATACATAGAAACAGAGAAGGCAGCAGCTGATCCTTTCTATGCACTGCCCTCTTGTGGTTGCATCTGAGCACTGCATACATAGAGGCCAGCAGCTGATCCTTTCTATATACTGCCCTCTTGTGGCTGTTTCTGAGTGATGCATATGTGCATACATAAGCATCGCTAGACCTAGAGGGCAGCAGCTGATCCTTTTTGTTTACGTACCTCCCTCTTCTTGTTACTTCTGAGTGACACATAGGTTCATACAGTTGCAGGGAGTTTTTTGGGCTGTATGGCCATGTTTCAGCAGCATTCTCTCCTAACGTTTTGCCTGCATCTGTGGCCCTTTTTGGGCCAAAGTACAAAGAGTGACATTTTTTGCAGCTGCGCATTACATTCACCAACAAATATGTGTTTTGGTTTCATTGTTTTGAAAATTGAGTGGCGCATTTGATTCAATGGTGCGTTGGAGTCAACATGGCATATAAATGAAGTTGACTTCCGTGTTTAGAGAGGTGGGTCCCGTCTGCAATGTGTCTCATGATGTACATGGAGATGTTCCCAAACCTCAGCCACTCCTAGTCCGGATAAAGGATGGCCGACCTGTAGGATGGTGGTGACATCATCAAATGGTGATGCTCCACTTCCTGTCCCTTTGCATCCCCAGCTACCAGCTCTCCTGCGCCATCGAGCCACCGGTGGAAGGAGGGACCCCCGCCAAGGCCGGGAAGCCCACCCTGGTCATCACCCACTGCACCGAGTGAGAGGCACATGGGTCCTGGGCGCAACGAGGGTGACGGGAGTGCGGTGGGCCCCTCTGAGAGTCCTAACGTTGGGAGGGATTGAGGGGTGCGCTATGGGGGTGCCCCCATTTGACAGGCCTTCTCCATTTATCTCTCTCTCTCTCGGGGGGTGCAGCCTCCTCACCTCCCTCAGCATGAGCACCCTCGTCCCCTGGGACCGGTCCTGCTCCTCGAACCCACCTCCAGACCTGCTTCTGCCTCCCACGTCGCCTGACCGGGGACAAACACGCCACAACCAGGTGAAATGAGGGGGGTGTTGTTGTTGTTCTTAGCTGGCATCAAGTTAACTTTGACTACAGGAAACCTTTGAAGAAGAAGTCACATCCAGTCATCATCTGCTGCCATGCTCAGGTCTTGCAAATCCAGGGCTTGGCTCCATATGTTATATAAATATGAGCCCAATCCATAATCCTCAGCTTCATTGGGATGATGGGCCTTGAAGTTGATCTTGACTTATGGAGACCCTATTTACGGGAGACCTCCAAGTCACCCATCACCCAAAGCCCTGCTTAGGTCTTGTCTCATTCTGCCATCTAAATATAAGCCAGACTTCCTTGGTTGGATTGGCCTTCAAGTTGATTTCATATTATGGTGACCCTATGAATGGAAGACCTCCAGGTCATGTCCCATCATCCACAGCCCTGCTGTGGGTCTTGTCTCATTTTGTCATCTAAATATAAGCTGAACTCCTAAGTCTCCACTTTCTTGGTTAGATGGGCCTTCAAGTTAGGTTTTTGGAGACCCTATGAATGGGAGACCTCAAGTCACATCCGATCATCCACAGCCCTGCTTAGGTCTTGTCTCATTCTGTTGTCTAAATATAAGCTGGACTTCTTTGGTTGCATTGGTCCTCAAGTTGGCTTTATCTTATAGTGACCCTATGAGTGGGAGACCTCCAAGTCATATCCCATCATCCAAAGCCCTGCTTAGGTCTTGTCTCATTCTGTCGTCTAAATATAAGCCGGACTTTCTTGGTTGGATGGGCCTTCAAGTTGACTTTATCTTATGGTGACCCTATGAATGGGAGACCTCCAAGTCACATCCCATCATCCATAAGCCCTCATTTTGTCATCTAAATATAAGCTGAACTTCTAAGTCTCCACTTTCTTGGTCAGATGGGCCTTCAAGTTGGCTTTATGGTGGATCTATGCCTGGGAGACCTCCAAGTCATATCCCACCATCCAAAGCCCTGCTTAGGTCTTGTCTCGTTCTGTCGTCTAAATATAAGCCGGACTTTCTTGGTTGGATGGGCCTTCAAGTTGACTTTATCTTATGGTGACCCTATGAATGGGAGACCTCCAAGTCACATCCCATCATCCATAAGCCCTCATTTTGTCATCTAAATATAAGCTGAACTTCTAAGTCTCCACTTTCTTGGTCAGATGGGCCTTCAAGTTGGCTTTATGGTGGATCTATGCCTGGGAGACCTCTAAGTCACATCTCATCATCCACAGCCCTGCTTAGGTCTTGTCTCATTCTGTCATCTAAATATAAGCCGGACTTTCTTGGTTGGATGGGCCTTCAAGTTGGCTTTATCTTATGGTGACCCTATGAGGGGTAGACCTCCAAGTCACACCCCATCATCCACAGACCAGTTCAGGTCTTGCAACACATGAAGGAGGGACCTCCAAGCCATCCTCCCTCAGGAATACAGCAAAGCCAGGGCAGCTATGGCTTCCTCAGCTGAGCTCATCCCTTCTACCTTTGTTGTTGTATGGCCCTTGAGTCATTTCTGACTTATGGTGACCCTAAGGTGGATCTATCATGGGGTTTTCTGGAGCTGAGAGTGTGTGGCTCACTGCAGTGACCTTCCATGGCCGAGCATGGACTCGAACCCAGTCAGGAGGCCTTTGATGGTGTCCTCCTGCCTGGCAGAAGGGGGCTGGACTGGATGACTCTTCCAACCCTATGAGGCCTCTTCAAACGCTTCCTTGGCTGACGACTTCTTTCCTCCCACAGCACACCAAGTGGCCCTCGGTCTCCGCCTTGGACTCGGCCCCCGACAGCACCGCCCCACCTTCCCCAGGGGGACTGGCCCCTCCTCCGCCCCAAGGGGGGACCTTCGTCAAGGGCCACCGCCGCTCCGCTTCCTGTGGGTCGGCCTACCCTGCGGGACAGGCAATGGGGGGCGCTTCCGCTTCCGAGTGCCGCATCATCCGCGTCAGCATGGCCCTGCAGGACGGCACCCTCTACAAGAGCATCCTGGTGAGCAGCAATGGGGCGGGTGCAGCAGGCGAAAAACATACTTATGTACCCCACTCACCAATTTACCAGAAGTCAGGATTGTTAGAATCTTAGAGTTGGGAGGGACTCCAAGGGCCATCCAGTCCAACCTCCTCCCACTGGGCTGGGAGACACAGTCAAAGCCCTCCCAATAGATGACCATCCAGCCTCTGCATAATGTGCTGCTGCCTGGGATCTGATGGAGTCTCCTTCCTTCAGAGGCTGGATGGCCATCGGTCAGGGTTGCTTTGATGGTGCTTTTCCTGCCTGGCAGAAGGGGGTTGGACTGGATGCCCTTTAGGAGTCCCTTCTGACTCCAGGATTCTACCTGAATGAATGAAATAACTTCACCCTGTACCTGGGCTTATGGCTCCCCCAATGTTGACAACGGGGGCCAACGAATTCTTCTTCCTTCCAACAGGTCACCAGCCAAGACAAGGCCCCAGTTGTGATTGCGAAGGCGCTGGAGAAGCACAACCAGGACCGTGGCTTGGCCCCCCAGTACCAACTGGTGCAGCTCCTCCCGGGCGGAAAAGGTGGGTCCTGGGGGGATTACTGGGGTGACGAAAGGGGGCCCTGCCTGGCCCCTTAAGGGCAAGGGGGCTCGTCAGGTGGGCCAGTGCTGGGTTTGGGGGGCTGGAACATGCCGGCCTTTTGCTTTGTGTGAGAATGACCGCACTTCCCTGAAAGAGGGGACAGGGCTCCTGATCCTGACCTGAATGCACTGCACGCAGGAGAAGCTGCCCAGTAGGAAACATAAATAGCTTGACCGATCAAGAGTCAGCCCCATGAAACTGAGACACGCAGAAAGGTCAGGAGAGGCCAAAGCCGTTTGCTTGAGCCGCCTTGGCGCTCTGGACTCCGTTTGCAGCAACCAAAGCCAATTCAGGACACTTGGAGGGAATTGACGTAAACAACCCAAAGCAATCTGCCATTGGCTTTGGCAGTAGCCCAGTCTGAGAACGGCCCAAGGAGTGGGGGGGGGGGGGGGGCTGCAGAAACACATCAACGGCCCAGTTGACCATGTCGGTGAAATCCGGTCTTGGAGCTTGGCCCAAATCTGTTGATGGGGTTCAGAATTTCCATTGATTGTAGATGAACTATAAATCCCAGCAACTGCAACTCCCAAATGTCAAGGTCTATTTCCCCCAAACTCCACCAGTGTTCACATTTGGGCATATTGAGTAATTGTGCCAAGCTTGGTCCACATCCATCATTGTTTGAGTCCACAGTGCTTTCTGGATGTTGGTGAACTACAACTCTAAAAGTCAAGATTGATGCCCACCAAACCCTTCCAGTAATTTCTCTTGGTCATGGGAGTTCTGTGTGCCAAGTTTGGTTCAATTCCATTGTTGGTGGAGTTCAAAATACTCTTTGATTGTAGGTGAACTATACATCCCAGCAACTACAACTCCCAAATGTCAAGGTCTATTTTCCCCAAACTCCACCAGTGTTCACATTTGGGCATATTGAGTAATTGTGCCAAGCTTGGTCCAGATCTATCATTGTTTGAGTCCACAGTGCTTTCTGGATGTTGGTGAACTACAACTCCAAAACTCAAGGTCAAGTGCCCTCCAAGGCCTTCCAGTATTATCTGTTGGTCATGGGAGTACTGTGTGCCAAGTTTGATTCAATTCCATTGTTGGTTTGAATTCAGAATGCTCTTTGATTGTAGGGAACTATAAATCGCAGCAACTGCAACTCCCAAATGACAAAATCAATTCTTCCAGCCCCACCAGTATTCAAATTTGGACGTATCGGGTATTGGTGCCAAATGTGGCAATCTCCCAATCCTTTCTCACCCCGGGGGGTGGAGGGACTCAAGGCGGTTTACAACATACCGGTTGCACAGCTAGCTAATCACCAGCAGCGATAGATCACTGCCGACCGGAAGGTTTGCAAGTTCGAAGCCTGGGTCGGATTGAGCACCCAACTGTCAAGCCTAGCTTACTGTCCACCTAAGCAGTTCTGTGAGTAGAGGAATTAGGGACCGCTTAAAGTGTGGAAGTATTTTACAACACCATAAAAATGCAATCAAAGAGCAAGGAGGAAATGCTATGATCAAAAATGACTCGGCGTCATAGTGGATGAAGCAACACCACCCCCCTGTGGCCGGATTCGAGCATAACCTCCAGGCGCCGAAGATGAAATGCCAAAATACTTCTGTCTGTATGTCTAAAAACAGCATTGAATGTTTGCCGTGTATTATTATTATTATTATTATTATTATTATTAAACTTTATTTGTACCCCGCTAGCATCTCCCGAAGGAGTTGATGCGGCTTACACAGGTCGAGGCCTAAACACACAACACAACAATACAATCTAAGCAAATCAAATAATTAAAAACAGTAAAGCAAAATAAACAACAGGAACAATACACTAAAACACAATAAAACTGGGCTGGGCCAGAGAGTGGGTACAAAGATTAAAAGTGCTGATGTGACAGGAGGTGTATAAAGGGCTTCTAGGGCAAGTGCGATGTGCGATGTGCAGCAATCATTGGTTCTGATAAAATGCTTCTGGGACTTGGTAGTGGAGATTTCCTAATCTGGGAAGGTGCATCAGAAAAGCCAGGTCTTCAAGTTCTTTCTGAAGACAGCCAATGTAGGGGCCTGTCTAAGGTCTTTGGGGAGGGTGTTCCAGAGTCGGGGGGCCACCACGGAAAAGGCCCTGTCCCGCGTCCCCGCTGAGCGCGCTTGTGACACCGGTGGGATCACGAGCAGGACCTCTCCAGATGACCGAAGTGAACGTGTGGGTTCGTAGATGGAAATGCGGTCACACAATGTATGTGTGCCTTGTGATCTGCCCCAATGTGATTTTGTCCTAGACTTCCCTGGATCTGGACACAATCCTCTTGGTGCAGCTTAGAATTGCGTTGGCCTTTTAAGCTGCCGCATCGCACTCCTGACACACTCACGCTCAGCTTGTGAGACTCCCCTATCCCTGTCCCAGGGAGGGTTTCCATGCCAGCTCCCACCCTTTATTTACACTTTGTCCTTCTCTTCCTGCAGAGCTGGCCTTCCCTCCGACGGCCAACGTCTTCTACGCCATGAACGGCACCTGCCAGGACTTCATGCTCCGGGCGAAAGGGGCGCAAGACAAGGCTCTCCCGCCGCCTCCTGTGCCGCTGCCGCCGCCTCCCCCTCCTCCGCCCCCCAGGAGCCCCACCCCCAGGCGCATGGAAATCAGCGCCACCTTCCCAAAGATCAAGGCCACCGGGCGCAAGATTGCCAGAGCACTCTTCTGACCCAACTGGAAGCCGGGACCCACTTCTAACGGGCAAAAGCAGGCTCCGCCGAGAAAGAAGCGGACTATGCCGACGCCGGAGGAATATCGAGGAACCAGGCGCATTTGGGATTCAGAGCCAGGGACATTCAAATTCCGTTTGCGGCGCCTGCTATGCACTTCCTCTCGGCGCCACTACTGACTTCCTCTCTGCTTTTGCATGGCCCCGTGCCTTAACGGAGTGACAGTCTGCACTGTACCGGCCGAATGAAGGCGCTGCCCGAGGACCTCGCTTCCTGCTGACGGGAAGCGCCGTCGCAGTTGTTTACGGAAGCGGCCGCCTTGCTCACAATCTTTAAGCGTGGGCATTTCTTTTTGCAAAGCCAGAGTGATCATGAGCAGCCATCCTTTTTGCCTTTGTAGCTAATGCAATACCAAAACTGGATCGGAAGGGGATGGGAGCCTTTTCTCAGGGAGTCTCAGCCAAAGTCCTTACGCCAAACTCAGCCTCAGCTTTTCTTTGCTCCTTGGTGCAATTACACACTATTTTTGTAATTAAATAAAAGACACTACTTACGAGGGCAGGGAAAGGCGTCAAGTCCATGAGGCTCTGCCAGGTTGTTGGGCTCCCACCTCCCAGGAGACCCAGCCAGCTTGGCCCAATGATCGGGGATTATGGGACTGGGAGTCCAAAGACACTACTAAATTCAGAGGGACAAACATTGGGAAGGCAACAAGTCAAGTCCCAGGGCCAAGGGAATGGAGGAGGGCATTCTGTGGCTACCTCCTTTTGGGGGAAAAAAATCACGGAATATGGAACGCACTGAACCCTATTGATAGGAAACTAAGACTGTTCTCTTGCCTTCTGGCCCAATAGGTAGCATCAACTCTTGCTGCAGGGCTAAGAGGGCCTCTGAGAACACCTAGAGGGCACTCGCAAATGCAGGCAACCCTGAAAGGAGCTGTGGCTGTTCACATTTGATTAGCCCACACACTGCATTGCCAGAGAAAGAAAATACACCATGCAGGTGAACAATAAAGAACAAGTATTGTCAAAGTCTTTCATGGCCAGAATCACTGGGTTGTTGTAGGTTTTTTTGGGCTATATGGCCATGGTCTAGAGGCATTCTCTCCTGACGTTTCGCCTGCATCTATGGCAAGCATCCTCAGAGGGAGTGAGTTCTGTTGGAACCAGGAAAAAGGGTTTATATATCTGTGGAATGGCCAGGGTGGGACAAAGGACTCTTGTCTGCTGGAGCTAGGTGTGAATGTTTCAACTGACCACCTTGATTAGCATTTGATGGCCCAGCAGTGCCTGGAGCAATCTTTTGTTGGGAGGTGATTAGATGTTCTTGTTTGTTTCCTCTCGTTGTGCTGTTGTAATTTTTGAGTTTTTTAATACTGGTAGCCAGATTTTGTTCATTTGCATGGTTTCCTCCTTTCTGTTGACATTGTCCACCTGCTTCTTGTGGATTTCCATGGCTTCTCTGTGTAGCCTGACATGGTGGTTGTGAGAGTGGCCCAGCATTTCTGTGTTCTCCAATACTATGCTGTGTCCAGGTTGGTTCATCAGGTGCTCTGCTATGGCTGACTTCTCTGGTTGAAGGAGTCTGCAGCGCCTTTCATCTTCCTTGATTTGTGTTTGGGCACTTCGTTTACAACCACACAACAGCAGAGAGGGAGCAAACAAGGACATCTAATCACCTCTCAACAAAAGTTTGCTCCAGGCACTGTCAGACCATTATATGCTAATCAAGGATGAAACATTCACACCTAGCTCCAGCAGACAAGAGTCCTTTGTCCCACCCAGGTCATTCCACAGATATATAAACCCTTTTTCCCAGTTCCAACAGACCTCACCACCTCTGAGGATGCTTGTCATAGATGCAGGCGAAACGTCAGGAGAGAATGCCTCTAAACCATGGCCATATAGCCCGAAAAAACCTACAACAACCCAAAGAACAAGTAGTTTTTTCTTCGCAGTTCAGAGCATCATATATGCAGTGTGATCAGTTGCACCAACTCACACCATGTCCTTTTATGAGAGATTTAAACTTGTCTTCCTTTTGTCCATGTGGAGAAACTCCTTTCAGCATCTCAGAAGCAAAGCACACTCCAAACCCTGTCTCTCTGCTACTCTCTTCAAACTGAGCATCTGCATAGCTCGAGCCTGAACAAAAATGTAACAGTATCCAAAAGTCCCAGGCTCAGCCTGCTCCCCAACCAATCTACTTCATGCATCTTATTTTACAGTTGATGCACACACACTCCTTGCATGCTCCAACATTCTCCTGTTTCCTTCTTTCTTGGATGTGTATCCCCACTTTCTTCCCTAACACAAATCCCCCTCCCCAACACCAGAGATAGAGGAACCTATGAGGAAACCGGACTTCAGTCCATGGCTTGGTAGGACCTCACTCACCCAGATACATTCACCATTCATACTCACCATCCCTACTTCTTTCAGGCCTAATGCTGCTGGGAGGAGAGAGGCGGGTGGGCAGACGTGACTCTCCTGCAGATCTGGCAGATCACAGAGGTAATCAGGAAGAGGGCCTCTTATGCAGAGTGTTTGGTTCTCCATGATCTGGTTGCTTAGATCACCTCCATCATTCAGCTCAGACCTGCTGGAGCCTCATCAATTCCTTTGTTTACCTTCCTTCTTTTAAAGCAAGGTTTCTCAACCTGGGGGTCGGGACTCCTGGAGGGGTCACAAGGGGGGTTTCAGAGGGGTCACCGAAGACCACCAGAAAATACCTATTTCTGATGGTCTTAGGAATCCCTTTGGCAGAGAAGCCTGAAGATCTCTCCGCCTGACCTTCTCTTCCTTTTTGGAAACAGTGAACCCTCCCACCAAAATGGCACCTAATTTGGTCCAGATCCATCGTTGTTTGGGTTCACAGTGCTCTCCAGATGTAGGTGAACTACATCTCCCCTAAATCATTGTCAATTCATCCCAAATCTCTCGTATTTTCTGTTGGTCATGGGGGTCCTGTGTAGGAAGTTTGGCCTTATTCTATCCTTGGTGGGGTTCAGAATGCTCTTTGATTGTAGGTGAACTATAAATCCCAGCAACTATAACTCCCAAATGTAAAGCTGTATTTCCCTCAAACTCCACCAGTGTTCACATTTCAGCATATTGAGTATTCCTGCCAAGTTTGGCCTAGAGCAGTGGTTCCCAACCTGTGGGTCCCCAAGTGTTTTGGCCTACAACTCCCAGAAATCCCAGCCAGTTTACCAGCTGTTAGGATTTCTGGGAGTTGGAGGCCAAAACATCTGGGGACTCACAGGTTGAGAACCACTGCTCTAGATCCATCATTGTTTGAGTCCACGGTGCTTTCTGGATGTAAGTGAACAACAACTCCAAAACTCAAGGTCAATGCCCACCAAATCCTTCCAGTATTTTCTGCTGGTTGTGGGAGTTTTGTGTGCCAAGTTTGGTTCAATTCCATCGTTGGTGGGGTTCCAAATGGCCTTGTACTGTAGTTGAACTATAAATCCCAGCAACTTCAACTCCCAAATGTCAAGGTCTATTTTCCCCCAAACTCCAACAGTGTTTCAGCATATTGAGTACACATTTCAGCATATCGAGTTTTCCTGTCAAGTGCGCTCTACATCCATCATTGTTTGAGTCCACAGTGCTCTCTGGATGTAGGTGGCCCCCCAAACCCTTCCAGTTTTTTCTGCTGGTTGTGGGAGTTCTTTGTGCCAAGTTTGGTTCAATTCCAATTGGTGGAGTTCAGCATGCTCATTCAATCCATTCATTACATCAAGCGGGTGGGATGGGTTGCCTGGTTGGCTGGCTCCAAAGAAAAAGGGAGGCAGGCAGAAAAAGAGGAGGAATAGGCAATGAACCCCGTGTTCCAGGAGAAAGTCCTACACAAGGACGCCAAGGGAATGGCCCTGGACCACCTCTCCGGCGCGTGCCTTTGTTTCCCCAACAGCTTGTGCCCATTTCGAAGGGGTTTCGGGACTTGGCCTAGTTGGGAGTGGAGAAGCCTCCGCACTTGGATCTTAGGGACACTCCCAACCAACTTCCCTTTTGGTGCCTCTCCTCTTTTACCTGAGATGCACAGCCTGCAACAATAAAAGCCAGTTTCTACCTTTTACAAAAACCTTCCCTGAGCCTCGTGTCTTTTCTCAGCTCATGCTGTACTCTAGCAGTGGCTGCTCCATGCGTGATAGCAAGGATTCTGCAAACCCTCCTGAGATGCCCCGGCCCTTTCTTTGGACATGCAAGGCAAAGGCAACACAAAACAGAGAGGGACAGAGACGTGACTTTGTTTTATTGTGACCAGAGGGGCCAAGCCTGATCCAGGTGCTGGGCCCCCCTTCCTCTCCTCCCTCCCTCCTCCTTCATGCCTTGAGGGCGGCTGCCTTTCCGGCGGGGGCCTGGGCCTTCTGGAAGTCCTGCTGCAGCCTCCCCAGCAAGTCCCGCTGCTGCTCCGACTTCCTCTCCAGATCCTGCATCTGGGACTCATAGCGCTTGCTGCAAAAGGAGGAGGGAGGGAGGGAGGGAGTCCGTGGGAGGGGAGGCGTGGGTGCCTTCCTCCAGTGGGGACCCCTAGGACCACACAGCCCACCCCCTTCAGGAGAACACAACCCAAGCCCTCCCGGTAGAGGGCCATCCCGCCTGACTCCCAGGGAGAGCTCAGAGTGCCAGGAAGGCCTTCCTAATACACGGAGGCAGAGTCTCTCTTTCCTGGGTCTTCAAACCACGGCTCCCTCGTGTCCCACTCTCTGGAGCAGCAGGAAACAGGCCTTCTTCTCCCTTCTCTAAGTAGCTGGAAGGGGCCTCAACGTTTGTGGATACGGGATGGTGAGGGATGGAGGGACATACAACAAAAATACCACTTATATATGGAGTAAACAATAATGGAATTCAACAAACAATTATATAGACATGTTGTACTGTTCAATTTCACAGTGATGTCAAACAATATTGTGTAGAGGGGTGGAGGGAGGTCAGTGGGGTGCCTTCCTGTGACCTTGTGTGCACCCGTTTGCTAGATCTGTCTCGCTCAAGGTGTCTCCGCTTCCTGCCTCCGTGGAGAGGTGTCCCTTTCTCCTCATAGAATCCAAGAGTTGGGAGAGACCTCCTGGGCCATCATCCAGTCCAACCCCATTCTGCCAAGAAGCAGGAATATTGCATTCAAAGCACCCCTGACAGATGGCCATCCAGCTTCTGTTTCAAAGCTTCCAAAGAAGGAGCTCCACCACCCTCCGGGGCAGAGAGTTCCACTGCTGAACGGCTCTCACATTCAGGAAGTTCTTCCTCATGTTCAGATGGAATCTCCTCTCTTGTAGTTTGAAGCCATTGTCCCATTGCGTCCTAGTCTCCAGGGAAGCAGAAAACAAGCTTGCTCCCTCCTCCCTGTGGCTTCCTCTCACATATTTATACATGGCTATCTCCTCTCAACCTTCTCTTCTTCAGGCTAAACATGCCCAGCTCCTGAAGCCGCTCCTCATAGGGCTTGTTCTCCAGACCCTTGATCCTTTGAGTCGCCCTCCTCTGGACACACTCCAGCTTGTCAATATCTCTCTTCAATTGTGGTGCCCAGAATTGGACACAATATTCCAGGTAAAGTGGTCTAACCAAAGCGGAATAGAGCACGGGGAGCATGACTTCCCTAGATCCTCCTCCTCCTCCTCCTCCTCCTTCCTGGAGGTCTTTTGCACATCTTACTTCCCTTCTGATTGAGAACGGAGCACCGTGAGGCCTCTCCCTGGCACAGAGAGACCCCAGAGTCAGCACTGCGGGCCCTTCCCCCAAAGTGAGGCCACTTTGCCTTTTGTCCACCAACTCTTTCATCTGAGGTATGTACGGGGTATAGGAGGTTGTACATGACCCGCAACAAGAAAAGCAAGCTTTGTGCCTTCAGAAACTGGACCAGAACATCMCCYTGGGWAGAWTCCCTCCCGTTTCCTACCAGAAGGTCATACGCTGCACTCTGCTCTTCTACAGACATCTCATCTTCCTGCAAATGYGTAAACACAGCAATATGTGGTGCCCTCTCTTCCCTTCCTCCAAGCCAAACAGGCAGGTGCTTCTCAAAGGGATTCTTGCCTTCTGGTCCTTGGGCCCCTTTGTGCTCCTTCCCTTCCCTACTTGACCATCTCCTTCTTCTTGAATGAGGTTTCCCACAGTCCCACTCTCTTCCTCTGCTTTGGTCAGGCCTTCTCACCTGGAATAACAGCCCTGGGTCTCTTCAAGGTATGGATATTGACAGGACGGATGGGGTCCCCCTGAGGACCACCCTAGGGAGCTGGGTCTGCTCAGCATGGGGAAGAGGAGGCTGAGAGAAGGTCCCTGAGGAGAGCCAGGCTGAAGCACCTGGAAGGAGGAAGGGCCAGGCTGGTCTTGTGCTGCTCTGGAGGAGACCGGGACACGAGGGAGCCGTGGGTTCAAGCGGCAGGAAAAGAGGTCCCACCTCAACCCAAAGGAGGACATCCTGAAGGCAAGAGCTGTTTGGCTATGGAATCTGCTGCTTCCTGGGAGTCTGCTGGGGTCTCCTTCCTCCTCTGGAGGTTCTGAAGCAGTGGCTGGATAGGACCATCTATTGGAAGGGATTGGGTTGTGCTTTTCCCGCCTGTCTGGAAGGGGATGGATTGGATGTCCCTTGGGGGTCCCTTCCAAGTCTAGTGGGGAATGGACAGCCTGAGAGTCCGGGGGAGTCTCCTCCTCTGGAGGCCTTTCAGCAAACACTGGGTGGCCATCTGTCGGGGGGGTTGGACTGGATGTTCTTTGGGGTCCCTTCCAACTGAGGGAGACGAGTGGCCAGAGAGGTCTTTCCTCGTCTCTTGACCCTTTGGACCCTAGGCCCCACTGCAGAGTTGTCAGGAGTCAATTTCTGACGGCATGAAGACATCACAAATTCCCTCTGTGACATCCTGACTGAATCAATTCTCTCTGTGACACTTTGAAGCCAGGAGAGGGTGCTGGAAACCTTGTATTGGAACTTGTGAAGCAACAAATTCTAATAAGGAAACTGAGAAGAGGAGGGAGGTGGGCAGGAAAGGTGTATCAAAGGAAGTGGTGGTGGGAAAAAGCCAGTAGTGTTTTTCTTTGCTGCAGAGATACAAGCAATATATCCGTTTCAAAGCAAAACCGGCTTGTGAGTGGTCATTTAATATTGCTATATAGATCCTACAGTCTTACAAGAGTGTCATGGAGGCGCTGGAGTGTCCAGAGAGTGGGGCTGCCCCCTCTTTGCCTCAGGAGGGCTCTCCTTGAGTGGAAGGGAGTGATGGCTGTGCAGGCCGCCCTGGAGACCTCCCTCCCTCCCTTCCCGAGTGGATCGGGGCCCAGAGGGAGGTTGGGGCTGGACCAGGACCCAAGGGGCTGGGCTGCGCCTCCTGCTGCAAGGGTCCCTCCCTCCCTCCTTCACCCCCCACACCCACGCCCACTCACATCTCCCCGGCAATGTACTCCAGCCTCTTCCCGACCGTGGCCTTGGCCTCCTCCATGTCCTGCTTCACCAAGACGGGCCCAATCAGCTTGAAGACGGCGTTGGAGGCGTCCAGGAAGCCCAGCTCCTAGAGAAGGGCTGGGTCAGGCTTGGGCCTTGGACTGGGACCCAGAGGCCAGGCTTGGGGCGGAGGAGTGTCCCCAGGGGAGGGAGGAGGCCCCACTCTCCCAGCCCCACAGGAAGGCAGAGGAAACCTGGCCAAGGAGACCCCCGGAAGGGCCAACCTAAGTCAGGAAGCCCTTGGAGGTGAGAGACATCGGAGGAAAGAACGTGAAGGCACACAACGACAACAACAACAACACAAAGGAAGAGTAAAAGCCGCTCTCCTCCGTGCCCCACTCATTGTGGGAGAGGGCTGCTCTACAGCCGTGGGATTCCTTCTTTCCAGAGCCATGGCATCCAGGAAGCCCAGCTCCTATTTATTTATTATTTATTATTATTTATTTTGGACATTTGTATCCTGTCCGATCTCAACCTCCGCAGAGGGACTCAGGGCGGCTCACAACCGGCACACCATGGTGCCCACAAACAAAAGATAAATATATAATACAAATAAAAACAATATAAAAACGGTATACAAACATTTAAATGGTCAAACAGTCGCCGACTTAAGTCATTGTCCTAAAAGCAGTCCTAGGGAAGGAGCGGGTCAGGCTTGGGGTGGAAGAGCCCCTCCCTGGGGTGGGGTGGGTTGGGGGCCCTGGAGGAGGCACCCCACTCTCTCAGCCCCAGAGGAAGGCAGGGGAAGCCCACCCATCCCCTCCAAGGAAGATTGGCCAAGGATTCCCCCAGGAAGGGCTGCCTTAAGTCAGGAGCGAAAAACATCAAAGGAAACACTGCGTTGCTGTAAGTTTTTCCGGCTGTATAGCCATGATCTGGAAGCATTCTCTCCTGACGTTTTGCCTGCATCTATGGCAGGCATCCTCAGAGGTTGTGAGGTCTGTAGGCAACTAGGAAAATGGGGTTTATATATCTGTGGATGGGAGGAAGAACTCTTGTCTCTGTGAATGTTTCAATTGATTAGCAGTTTTCAAGGCATGGCTTCTTACTGCCTGGGAGAATCCTTTGTTGAGAGGTGATCTTTCTCCCACCCTGGACATTCCACAAATATATAAACTTATTGTTATTATTTACTTTAGCCCTTAGGTGACTCAGAGCGGTTAACCACAATTTCAGTATACACAATACAAAATCACTGGGCATTGAAAAGCAATAGCATTACAAATCATTAAACATCAGCATCAATACATCAGTAGTACATCAATATCACAAATCCATCAGGCCTCATCAATGAAATCAGAATCCAAACTCGTTATCCATAAACCCCATTTTCCTAGATTCCAACAGACCTCAAAACCTCCAAGGATGTCTTTAGCCACAGATGCAGGCGAAACGTCAGGAGAGAATGCTTCTGGAAGATGGCCAGACAGCCTGAAAAACCTACAACAACTCAGTCATTCCGGCCATGAAAGCCTTGGACAATACAAGGAAGGAAACAACTTGAAGGCACATGATGACAACAAACACCACAAGGGAAGTGCAGTCTGTGAGAGCAGCCTTCCTCCATGTCCCATTGTGGGAAAAGGCTGCTCTACAGCTGCGAGATTCCTTCCTTCCTTCCTTCCTTCCTTCCTTCCTTCCTTCCTTCCTTCCTTCCTTCCTTCCGCACAGAGCCATGGGCGTTGGGATCCTTTGGGCACCAAGGGAGTACCCACCTCTTTGCAGGCCCTCGCACTTAGGTTCCACCCCTTGTACACCGCCAGGTGTAACACTTCATGATCATGATGTTGGAAAGGGACGCTGTTGTGGGGCTCCCCCCCCCCCCCCCCGGGACCATAGCGGGACAGAACGGCTTCCGCAAAGAGGCGCGGAGGAGGCCCCAGAGACCCCGGACTCACCTCCTGCACAATGTTGTTCTCCGTCAGCTGGGCCTCCAGCTTCTGCCGGGACGACATGCACTTGCTGATATCTGGAAGGGGAGAGGGAGGCCCAAGGAAATGGGTCGGGGGCCCCACACAGAGCCCTTGGAAGAACCCAAAGCCCCGCTCCATGGGACCCTGGCTGGAAGGCAACCCAATGGCCGCTCGGTCTACCCCACAGTATCACCCTGCCTTTGCCGAGAGAGATACCCACATCTATTCTTCTATTCCAGGGCCCTCCCTCCAGGTGTTTTGGACTGCAACTCCCAGCATTCCTCGCAGCCTCAGGGCCCTTCCTTTTCCTTTCCTTTTCCCCTAAAGCGGCTGAGGGGGGAAAGGGAGGGGCCTGAGGCTGCGAGGAATGATGGGAGTTGCAGTCCAAAACACTCGAAAGGAGGGCCCGAGTTTTCCCAGGCCTCTTCTAATCATACGCTCCAGTTTTTCTTTCTCAAAGCTGCCAGTGGATTTTCCAGAGGGCAAGAAGAGCTGTTCCTGCTGCGAAGAGAGAAGGGGCCAGGAGGACAGTCCCATCTTTATATTACGTGTAATATTACTAATAATATTACAATATCATGGTATAGTACAATATAGTAATATATAATACTGATATTGTACTATGCTAATAATATAATATATGTATCTTGTAAACTGCTCTGAGTCCCCTTCAGGATAAATGGCGGCATATAAATGGCGTAAATAAAATAAAATAAAATAAATAAATAAATAGTCCGGCAGGGGAACTCTCTCCCTCTGAATTCGGTGGAGGATTTAGTCACAGGCTAGATGGCCATCTGTGGGGAGAGTTTAGGATTGCATTTCCCTGCCTGGCAGAAGGGGTTGGGGTTGGGTGGCCCTTGGGGTCCCTCCCAACTCTGTGGTTTCTGGGATTCCTCATGTCTCTGTCCTAGGCCAAGGCCTCCTCCTCCTCCTCCTCCTCCTCCTCCCACTCCACCTCCTCCACCACCACCTCCTCCACCACCACCTCCTCCACCACCTCCTCCACCACCTCCTCCACCACCACCTCCTCCACCACCACCACCTCCTCCACCACCACCACCACCACCTCCTCCACCACCACCTCCTCCACCACCACCTCCTCCACCACCACCTCCTCCACCACCACCTCCTCCACCTCCCCCCATCCACCACCACCTCCTCCACCACCACCTCCTCCACCACCACCTCCTCCATCCACCTCCTCCTCCTTCACCACCTCCTCCTCCTCCTTCACCACCTCTCCTCCTCCACCACCTCCTCCTCCTCCTCTATCCACCTCCTCCTCCTCCTCACCCCTCCTCCTCCTTCCCTCCACCACCACCACCCACCACCACCACCCCCTCCACCACCCACCACCACCACCACCACCTCCACCACCACCTCCACCTCCACCACCACCACCACCTCCACCTCCACCACCACCTCCACCTCCTCCCTCGGGCTGACCTTTCTGGAGCTGCTGGTACTTCTCCACTTCGGCCTGGAGCTTCTTCTGCAGTGGCTCCGCCATTCCCGCCGCCCTGGAGCCTCTCTCCTTCTCTGCTGAGGGAAGGATCCGGCCTGTGGGTCTGGGAAAGGGAACAGCAGTCAAGAAGGGCAAAGCGGCCACAAGCACCGCTCCGCAGATCAGGGGCTTCTGACGCTTCCCCAATTCAGGGCGCAGAGTCGGACTTGGCAAAGTTTCACTAGACTTGATTCAAAGAGCTACGTATCAAGACAGGGAAGTTAACAGAACCTGGCCATCTAAGTAACCGCAGACATCTTGTCTCTCTCCATGCTCACAGGAGAAGAGGAATGTGGAGGGTTCAGGGGATGGCCATGCACTCCGAAAAAGCAGTGTGTGTGTCCTGGGATGTCTCTGTCTAATATGGAAAATAGAGGAGGGGGGGGGATTGGCTTCAATCACAGCGGAAAGGCCTTTCTGAGCCTGCCCTGCAAGGGGTCGAGGCTCCCACGTTGTGGCTCTTGGCGTTCGGGGACCGGGGAGGGCTTCTGGCTCTTATTATTCGCAAGAGCAATTAAGAACGGTTAGAGAGAACGTTCTGGAGGTCAGTTCCCCACAGGAACAAGAGACATGATGCACATTGGACCCAAAGCACAGACCGGGAAGCAGGCCCCAAAGGATGGACCGAAGGAAGGAAGGAAGGAAGAAAAGAAGGAAGGAAGAAGGAAGGAAGGAGGGGAAAAAAAGAGAAGGAAGGAAAAAAGGAAAGGGAGTAATGAAGGGAGGGAAGAAGAGCAGAAGGAAGGGAAGGAGGGAGGAGGGAGAGAAGGGATGGAGGAAGGAAATTTGTTTGTTTATTTATTTATTTATTTGCAGTTTTTCTATTCCGCCCTTCTCACCCCGCAGGGGACTCAGGGCGGATTACAATGTACACATATATGGCAAACATTCAATGCCAATTTTGACATACAACATATACAGACATACACAGAGGAGAGGAGAGGAGAGGAGAGGAGAGGGGAGGGGAGGGGAGGGGAGGGGAGGGGAGGGGAGGGGGGGGGAGGGGAGGGGGAGGGGGGGGAGGGGGGAGGGGGGGGGAGGGGAGGAGAGGGAGAGGAGAGGGAGAGGGGGGAGGGAGGAGGAGAGGGAGAGGGAGAGAGAAGGAGAGGAGAGAAGGAAGGAAGGAGGGAGGGAGGGCAGAAGGAAGGGTGGAAAGTAGGAAGGGATGAAGGGAATATTGTGTCCAGTTCTGGGCACCACAATTCCAGAGCGATATTGACTCTAAGCTGGAATGTGTCCAGAGGAGGGCGACTCCAAGGATCAAGGGTCTGGAGAACAAGCCCTATGAGGAGCGGCTTAAAGGGCTGGGCATGTTTAGCCTGAAGAAGAGAAGGCTGAGAATAGACATGATGAGGGCCATGTATAAATATGTGAGGGGAATATGTCACACCTGGAATCCCACTGTGTCCAATTCTGGGCACTGCAACTGAAGGGAGATGTTGACACGAAGCTGGAATGTGTCCCCCGAGTACATTTCCCCCCCTGTTCATGAAGGCCTAGATTTATGACCTCGTTCCTTACGCGTTTCTCCCCCACAAACACACAATCTGCTCCATCCCCATCTCATCCTGATTTTAGTATTTTTAGAACCGCTGTGAGTCGCCTTCAGGCTGAGAACAGCGGTATATAAGTAAGGTAAATAAATAAAATAAATAGTATCTTACTTTTATCTTGCACATGCGGCCCGCTCATTGTTATGTTATCTTATTTTACTGTGTATGATTTTGCTTTATTGTTTTTGTACTCATATGTTGTATGTATTTTACTGCGTTGTTACTGCGTTTTGGTTTTACTTTATTGTAATGTGCTGTTGGGCTTGGCCTCATGTAAGCCGCCCTGAGACCCCACTGGGGAGATGGTGGCGGGGTATCAAATAAAGATTATTATTATTATTATTATTATGCAACCTGAGCCCTGCCACATGATGCACGATGGAGGACCTCCTTGCGGCAACACCAGAAGCACTCCAAGTGGCCAGATACTGCTCAAAGGACATTGAATCAACTACCAAACTCACACATTTTGTCTTTTGTCTGTTTGTTTGCTTTGTTCTGTTAGAAATGTAATATAATTTGACTGGTTGTCCTGACACGACAAATAAATAAATAAAGAAATAAACAAACAAATAAATATTATTATTATTAAGTGTCCAGAGGAGGGCGACTCCAATGATCAAGGGTCTGGAGAACAAGCCCTATGAGGAGTGGCTTAAAGAGCTGGGCATGTTTAGCCTGAAGAAGAGAAGGCTGAGAGGAGACATGATGAGGGCCATGTATAAATATGTGAGAGGAAGCCACAGGGAGGAGGGAGCAAGCTTGTTTTCTGCTTCCCTGGAGACTAGGACGCAATGGAGCCATGGCATCAAACTACAAGAGAGGAGATTCCACCTGAACACGAGGAAGAACTTCCTGACTGTGAGAGCCGTTCAGCAGTGGAACTCTCTGCCCCGGAGTGTGGTGGAGGCTCCTTCTTTGGAAGCTTTTAAGCAGAGGCTGGATGGCCATCTGCTGGGGGGCTTTGAATGTGATGTTCCTGCTTCTGGGCAGAATGGGGTTGGATTGGATGATGGCCCAGGAGGTCTCTCCCAAATTTAGGATTGTATGATTCTATGTCTGTGAGAGCCGTTCAGCAGTGGAACTCTCTGCCCCGAAGGGAGCGTGGTGGAGGCTCCTTCTTTGGAGGCTTTGAAGCAGAGGCTGGATGGCCATCTGTGAGGGGTGCTTTGAATGTGATGTTCCTCCTTCTGGGCAGAATGGGGTTGGAGGCGTACCGGGGCTGATTCCCAGGCTGAGCCGGACTCCCGAGCACAGGCCTCAGGCTTCCCTTGGCCCTCCTCCTCCTGGCTGGGCCGGGCCTGAGGGAAGAAGGCCAGAAGGAGGCCAGGCTGCCCGGAAGGCCCATGGACAGCCACTCAGTCCGTCTCTGATCCCGCCCTCCGCCCACTCCCACGCGAGAAGATTCCACTCTACCTGGGAAGTGTTGCCGCCTCTCCCTCGGCTAGGCCCAACCGGAAGCGCCGCCCTCACTTCCCTCGGTCTCCAAGCGCCTAGCCGTGACGTCACCCAGGAGCCCTACTTCCGCCCGGCGCTGTCATGGCGGACGCAGTCAGGCGAACAAAGAGGGGCGGGGCTTCGCCTTAAAGGAACAGGGCTATTTATTTATTTATCGTGTCAGGGCATCTGCCCTTGCGCTATGCTACTCTGCAGCTGAGTATGCATGCCCAGTGTGGAACACATCTCACCACACTAAAACAGTAGATGTGGCTCTTAATGAGACATGCCGCATTATCACGGGGTGTCTGCGCCCACACCACTGGAGAAATTACACTGCTTAGCTGGTATTGCACCACCTGACATCCGCCGGGAAGTAGTAGCTAATAGCGAAAGGACCAAAGCAGAGACATCTCCAGCTCATCCCCTGTTTGGATATCAGCCAGCACGTCAACGGCTGAAATCAAGACATAGTTTTCTTAGATCTACAGAGACACTCGCTGGAACACCCAGCAAACGAGAGTACAAAAGTGGCAGGCTCAAACCCAGAACCTCAACCAATGGCTGATACGCAATGAGAGACTCCCCCCTGGGCACACAGAAAACTGGGCGACTTGGAAGGCGCTGAACAGACTGCGCTCTGGCACCACGAGATGCAGAGCCAACCTTCAGAAATGGGGCTACAAAGTGGAGTCCACGACATGTGAGTGTGGAGAAGAGCAAACCACTGACCACCTGCTGCAATGCAACCTGAGCCCTGCCACATGCACAATGGAGGACCTCCTTGCAGCAACACCAGAAGCACTCCAAGTGGCCAGATACTGGTCAAGGGACATTTAATCAACTACCATACTCACAAGTTTTGTATTTTGTCTGTCTGTTTGTTTGCTTTGTTATGTTAGAAATGTAATATAATCGACTGGTTGCCCTGACACAATAAATAAAAATAGCAGGTGATGTCAGTGCTGAAGATTCCGTTCCTGTTTTTCCGTAAAGCTTTAGATCATCCATGTACAGCAAGTGGGAAATTTTTGGTGAATTTTTTTGCTGTTTGGTAGCTCAGGTTGCTTTCTGCGTGACCACATCTCCATTTATGAACCCACGCGCTCCCTTCATTCATCCGGAGAGGCCCTGCTCGCGATCCCACCTGCGTCGCAGGCGCGTTTGGTGGGGACAAGGGACTGGGCCTTCTCTGTGGTTGCCCCCCAACTTTGGAACACCCTCCCCAAAGACATTAGACTAGCACCCACGTTGGCAGTCTTTAGGAGGAGCTTGAAGACCTGGCTATTTCGATGTGCCTTTCCAGAATAGGATAACCCCTAGCACTATGTCCCAGAAGCACTTTATTAGAGTTAAGACTCTCTGCATATTGCACTTGCCCAGAACTCCAACACACCACCTCTCACACCCAGCACTTTTTAAACCTGTACCCATCATTGGCCCGGCCCTGGTTTTATTGTGTAATAGTGTAATGTTTTGTTATTGCTTATGTTTTTAATTTGCTTTGTATCGTATTGTTATAGTCTGTTGTTGTGTTGAGGCCTTGGCCTTTGTAAGCCGCATCGAGTCCTTCGGGAGATGCTAGCGGAGTACAAATAAAGTTTAATAATTATAATTAGTATTATTGTGTATAATTAGTGTTATTGTGATATTGCTATGTGGAAATTTGTGCCTGTTTTTATATGTTGTACACCGCCGTGAGTCGCCCTGCAGGGCTGAGAACGGCGGTCTACAAGTGCATTAAATAAATAAATAAATAAATAAATAATAATACTGACAGAGGGATCATTGCAATGATTTTATTTATTTATCGTGTCAGTAGCAACCAAGCAATTGTATTACATTGTCGAAGGCTTTCGTGGCTGGAATCACTAGGTTCTTGTAGGTTTTTTCGGGCTATAGGGCCATGTTCTAGAGGCATTTCTCCTGACGTTTCTCCTGCATCTATGGCAAGCATCCTCAGAGGTAGTGAGGTCATATGAGAGAAGCCTCCTTGCAGGATTGCAAGATATCCGGCATCCCCTGGGCAACGTCTTCGTAGACGGCTAATTCTCTCGATCCAGAAGAAACCAGAGTTGATGAAATGTCCTTTGACCAGTATCTGGTGCCTCTGGTGTTGCTGCAAGAAGGTCCTCCCTTGTGCATGTGGCAGTGCTCAGGTTGCATTGCAGCAGGTGGCCAGTGGTTTGCTCTTCTCCACACTTGCATGTCGAGGATTCCACTTTGTGGCCCCATTTCTGAAGGTTGGCTCTGCATCTCGTGGTGCCAGAGCGCAGTCTGTTCAGCGCCTTCCAAGTCGCCCAGTTTTCTGTGTGCCCAGGGGGGAGTCTCTCATTTGGTATCAGCCATTGAAAGAACAGTGGATCAAGCTGATCACAGAGGTCGACATGGGCAGGAGCAGCCAGAAGGCATGGAGGCTGCTAAGACGGCTGAGCAACGACCCCTCAGAAACTAATACCCATGCCAACATAAAGGCAGATCAGATAGCACACCAACTCTTGAAGAATGGGAAACCCAACCTTGCCACCAAAGTAGGAAAGAAACCAATAGCCAGACAACCAGAGATTGAGAACAACAACCTTCAGGAACCCTTTACATCTACCGAATTGGACATGGCTCTCAATAAATGCAAGAATGGCAAAGCAGCTGGCCTGGATGACCTACGGATGGAACAAATCAAGAACTTTGGTCCCAAAGCAAGGCGCTGGCTGTTGGAGCTGATGGACAACTGCACTGCATCCTGTCAGATCCCCAAAATCTGGAGGAAATTAAGAGTCATCGCCATCTTGAAGCCAGGCAAAGACCGTAATGACCCAAAAAGCTACAGACCAATCTCCCTGT